CTAACCTTTTCTTCCTAATATTCAGGTGTGACAGACTGCGTGTCATGAGATGACAAAAAAAAAGTCATTGGAGACGGGGGTGAATGGAATGTTTCTTGAGCAAAAGGTCCTTTGGTGAAAATATAAATGCAGACAGACCTCACGTGAAAGGGATTATTATAGACTTGCATATTATCGAGATGTTTGTATTTTTATTGATAGGGAGTTTCAAGATAATGCTATTTGTTGAAGTGCTTTAAGATTTCTGAAATAAATAAATAATTGCAATAACAACGACGAAGTAGCTGAAGAGCTCTAGGAAAATAGAGTTTGTGTGTGGAGAGAGAGAGAGAGAGACTTTATCTAAGAGTAGCCCCGCCCCCTCCCATAATTTCCCATAGCATGACAGAGATGGGGTTTTTTTTTAGAATTGTACCATTCTCCTATCAGCCTGCAAATCATTTGCGTGGGTGTGGTCAAGATCGCTCAGAGATGAGATGGAACGACCCCAGGAAAATGTATGATTTATTCTATTTGAAAGGCAGGATTATGTGAAGAGGAGATTGACATTTAGCTGCTTTAGAGATGCAGGGGATCACAGATCACTTGTATCTTTATGCTGATGATGCTAATGGCTTAGGCTCGAGCTACCCTTTGATATTACACCATTGAATGTGGAGGGCGGGGGGCTAGTGGAGTGGAACATACAGATTACTTATTTGCTATACCTAAAATTTTGAACTCCTATATTGAACAGTGCATTCTAAGAGTAGCCCCGCCCCCTCCCATAATTTCCCATAGCATGACAGAGATGGGGTTTTTTTTTAGAATTGTACCATTCTCCTATCAGCCTGCAAATCATTTGCGTGGGTGTGGTCAAGATCGCTCAGAGATGAGATGGAACGACCCCAGGAAAATGTATGATTTATTCTATTTGAAAGGCAGGATTATGTGAAGAGGAGATTGACATTTAGCTGCTTTAGAGATGCAGGGGATCACAGATCACTTGTATCTTTATGCTGATGATGCTAATGGCTTAGGCTCGAGCTACCCTTTGATATTACACCATTGAAGGTGGAGGGCGGGGGGCTAGTGGAGTGGAACATACAGATTACTTATTTGCTATACCTAAAATTTTGAACTACTATATTGAACAGTGCATCAAACTAAATCAACTGCATGCTGACTGTAAGGATAACAAAGTACTTTTTAAACGTTAAATACCTGGAGTTACCTAGATATCGGACAAGTAAGACTACTGGAGGTGATCAGCGCATCGACATTACCTAAACTAAATACAGTGAATTATAATTTCTTTGATGACCCCACAGTCCAATGCACGTTGTTCCTCTGTTGCATGTCCTCCTCCTTGTTTGGCCGATTAAACTCAGACTAAGATGAGATTTCTTAAGTACAGAATGACAGACTAAGTGAGTCACTATTTGGGTGAATCACAATTCAAAAAAAGAATACTAAACTAAACATGATCATGAATTCCAGAGGCAACATCAGTTGTGGTGTATGTTCTCTGTACAATTCTTCATCAGGGCAGGTTCTCATTTAGCCATTCCTTTTCTTGACCGTTTTTTTCTGTCAGGGTGACAGGAGGGCGGGAGCCAATCTCTGCCGACTTTGGGTGAGCTCTACACTCTGGACCTGGTAATAATAAAGTTTTGGTGAGTTCTGTGAACCAGCACACAACCAATGACCCCCTTTGTGCACTTAAAACAACTTTTGACACCTTTGGCACTTAGAACTTTTTAATGGTAGATTGCCCATGTGCTGTCCTCTGTGTTGCTGATATACTGCATTTCTGTCTGGGTCTTATGAGAACATCCATCTGGCAGCCGGCGACATACGCTGCTGCTGACGCTTCCGTCGGCGTCGGACACTCCACTTTTCACCCTAAAATGAGCACTTCCTCTCAGAGTCTGGACTGTCTTATCTTGAAGCAGTTCAAAAGGTTACCACTCACCATCACTCAAATGTTCAGTGGGGTGACGTGTAGTTCTCCAAGAACAAAAGACACAATGGAAATCTCACTACAAAGTGGTCAACATTTTTTGAATGATGGAATTCAGTGGACATAATTTGAAATGTCAGCCTTTGCTCTGCCTTATCTGAATTCAAAGAGACGCTTCATACGCTCAACGGTTGACAAAATCAACATTCCTGACCATAATTTGAGTGGGGAGAAAAAAAAGAAGAGAGCAGTCAACACATTAGCACATCAGAATAACATTTACAACAACAACAACATTCCATTACACCTTTATTGGAAGTAAAAAATAGTCCCTACTTTACATTAAACAGCAACATGATAAGGAAGTGGTGGACAGCTGCTTTTGATTGGGCATTATGCTGATTATTTCCGACAACTGATTTTCACATCCATCTCGGATGGATTTTCATGTGGCTGAGTGCAGCGATATTGGCCAAGGTCTTAATTGACATTTATAAAAGCCAACATGCTAATATTTGTTTTCCATGATTTCCATTTAGATTGATGACAAGTGTGGTGTGTAAACAGGTGTTTGGTGTGTGCTCCCCAAGAGGATAGTTTGAAGAAGAAAATGAAGACAACAACCAAAAAAAGATCAAATGCACACAAAACAGCCATCGTCTTAATGAGTCTGGAGCAGTGAGTGCTTGTTGTCTCAATAAAAGCAAATGAAAGGTGAAGCACCCCCCACTTCAAAACCGGTTTGACACCTGAGAATAAATGGTTTCTTGTACACTGGCAATGAGCATCTTTTTTTGTGCGTGTTTTATTGTCAATCAGGGAGCTTGCATGCCCCATCTCAGAATGCAGTCCGCCAGGGTCCCTACATGTCAGTAGCCAGATATGCTGAAATAATAAAAGTCACAAAATTAATTTCCATGATACTTTCAAACTATCTGATGTGCATGAAAGCAGGTTTGAGTATTACTTTGCATTAATAAACTACGGTCTTTTATTCCCTTGTGTTTGGGCACTTGTTTATTTTTGCTGCAAAATTTCTCTTTCGTCCTCAGTATAACCTTTAAAAACGAATGGAGGCCTGCTGACTCAAAACACCCGCTAGCTATTGTGGAGCAAGTAAGGACAGTCAGGGAATTTGGAACATGTGAGCAGCGGTGCAGGGCACGCTTGGCATTGTCTTACTAAAGTCTCGAGGCTACACTGCAATGCGACGCACAAACAAAGTCCATCCATCCATTTTCCGATCTGCGTTATCCTCACAAGGGTCGCGGGGGGTGCCGGAGCCTATCCCAGCTGTCTTCGGGCAGTAAGCGGTGTACACCCTGAACCGGTTGCCAGCCAATCGCAGGGCACACAGAGACGAACAACCATCCACGCTCACGCTCACACCTATGGACTTTTTAGAATGTTCAATCAGCCTGCCATGCATGTTTTTAGAATGTGGGAAGAAACTGGAGTACCCGGAGAAAACCCACAGAGGCTCGGGGAGAACATGCAAACTCCACACAGGGAATTGAACCCGGTACCTCTGCACTGTGAGGTCGGCGCGCTAACCACTGTTTTACCGCGCCGCCTGCACAAACAAAGTCTCCTGGAAAAACACAAAACTCTGATGTGAGAGTAAAATGCACGCTGAGTGTATCACCTGTAGACCTTAATATCAAATGTCATCCTCGCTTTCGGTCAAACAACCCTAATTTGGATCGGCACCAAATTCAACACCATCACTGTATGGGTATTTTTTTCAGCCTCTTTTCCCGGACACTTACCGGTTCCTGGAAGTTGATGTTGCAAAGACGTTGATACCGTACAATTTCTAACTTTAGAGCAGAAGGAATGCTTTCATTGTAAAATTCTGCAACACATTCCTCAAACAACATGACTGAATAAATTATACGGTGCTTAGTGTTTTCCCCGGCATGGTTTGTGGACAATGAGGTTAAAACAAGGCAGCCGTTTGCCTTCCGGGTGGGGAAAATTTCTGTAGAGACACAGAAAAAAGTGAAATAAATTACACACCTTTTTCCAGAACCTCACCAAAATTTGATTGGAATTGCATGGGTCATATCAGCACAACATTTACTGGACACTGTTTTGCAGTTTTTGTGTGCATCTGCATTATGAATGGCGATCAATAAGGCTTGTGTGCGACCAACCAACTTCCTAATTCGGCAAAACAGGACGAAGCGCTTACCTCTGGTTTAGGTCGCTGGCTGAACCTTAAATGGCAGGAAACTGCTACAAAGCACCTGTAGAAATATTAGTCATCTCCCATATTTTTGTTGGATACAAAATGTCTTCAAGAGTTACTGAAGATGACCAGAACTGATGTTTAATCTTTGTTTTTGTTTGCATACATCATACCATATATTGACTGTACTGTATAAATAAATGATATACTTACATGTATTTAACTTTTATCCAAAGACACCAACAATAAAGAAAACAAGATTCCAGCAAGTTTGTGTTCAAACAATCATGTTATCAGCCTGGCGTTATCACTGAACACACAGGAAGTCTGCCAACCTGTTTTCCGGTACAGTCAGGTGACATTTCACACGAGGCCCAGATTTGTACTTGGCGCAAGGGAAAAGCCTTAAAGCCATACACACATTTTTGTGAAACAATATTTATTAATATATGATAGGAATTCAAAATATACATGACTGGATGCTTTATTGCATCTTTCATCAAACACAGCAAAACCATTTTGATAACCCAAATGGAAACAAACAATTAATAAAAAAAAAAAAAACCAAAAAAAAAAACATTTTAATTGTTTTTTTTTTAATTTATTTTTAGCCTCCAGATTGTTACATGTGGCAGTTTCTGTTACGCCACTCCTGTCCTTTGTTGACAGACACTGTTGTGTATGATCAGATGGGTCCAGCTCCCCTTTGGCAATTTGGATGATAGGACAAGAATGGACGTGTGTGTGTGTGTGTGTGTGTGTGTGTGTGTGTGTGTGTGTGTGTGTGTGTGTGTGTGTGTGGGTGGGTGTGGGTGTGGGTGTGTTGTTAAGTGTGCAAACATGCCATAAAACACCAAAGCCTGTGTGTGTGTGTGCCTTAGGTAACTGTTAGTTCCAATTTGGATATTGATGCCATGCTTGCATTTGTAAGAAAACACACACACCACACACACACGCGCGCGCACACACACACACACACACACACACACACAATAAACCTCACTACGGATATTTTCATTTCACAGGTTTAGCTTTACATGGTTAAAGATGGTCTGGCCATTGCAGAAGTAGACACTAGTCTCAGGTTGCAACTGTATAAAACACAATGAGTAATAGTGTTAAATCCTTGTTTATAAGATAATGCAAAACATATTAATATGATCTGCCTTTTGACACTTAACAAGAAATCATGATAGCAAGAAGATGTATTATTTTGTGCGGCTGTTCATGTCATTATGTGTGCTTCATATGACTGGGATTTGTCGGATTGCACTTGAAAGAGTTCATTCAATTGGTGCTGTAAATTAAATAGATGCATGAGATGCTTGTTTTGCGCCATTTTGTTCATCAACATTTGAAAGGTTGCTACCTACATACGACCAGGTTTCAATAGCAAGATTGCACGAGTTTATTTGACTGATGTTTGAATTCGGAGGAATATCACGCACTGTTAACCCAGCACAGCCTAATATCGTATTCAACCTCTATCCTGAGGAAGCTGTCCATCAGCTGACATGAACATAATCACCTTGTGCTTCAAAGGACACAAAAACACAATATAACAACATATTTCCATGAAAATAACTGCTGACAATTTGACTTAGTCAGGGTACAAGATAAAGCCGGAGAAGGTGCTGTATTTGTTATTATTGCCTCCGTGAGCTTTGCCGCCGTCCAATTTCACGTACACTTCGTCGCCCGAGTCCAAGTGCAGCACGGCACTGTTGCTGGCGTAGTCATAATTTTGGTCCGCATCCTGAGCTATGGCACTGGCTCGGACCTGAGAAATAGGGGACAGTGTCTGATATTATAGAGCATATTTTAGAAGGCCGTTGTGCTGATAATAGTGAAAAGGAAAACATGTTTAAAGACTTCATTTATATATATTGTTTGTGTTGAAAGAACATTTGGAGAGTAAAGCGAAATGCTTATGTGCATTCTCCCTCCCCTTCACCAACATCATCGCGCATGGTTACGCAACACTTGATAATCATTTGAGTCAGTGACAAACAAGAACGTGCACACAAACTCCCAATGCGCAAAACCATCTTCGATGCGCGTAATAGTTTGTTGTTGTTTTAATGAATCTCACCTTGACGCCTGGTGCCTGGCTTCTCGTGCGTAAAAGTGCGCGTTTTGGGTGGGGAGTAGTTTTCATTGCACAAAATGCGATAATCAAATCGTTTAAATTTATGTTGCAAGGTAGATAAGACCACTTTACAACTTGTAACTTACCTGTCCATTTTTACACAGGTCGGCCCACATGCTGGTTCCGTCTCCCCCTCGCATTAACACATGATAAGTGAAGTAATAGATCCCGGACACTTGGCAGGTGAATTTCCCGGTGTTCGGATCGTAGAGGTTCCCCAAGTTTGTAATCACGTCGTCAAACTTAAGCACCTCGTATCCCTCGTGGGGGTTCTTAAGACCGACGTAAAAAGCAACCCTGCTTCCGCCGTTTGTAGAATTGGCACCGTCGGTTTCGCTGTGCTCTGCCGCTGCCGCGGTTAAAGCAGGAAAGGCGAGTTTGCTGCCGCCGCGCTCCCCCGGTGGCCCCCTGGGGCCAGGGGGTCCTGGCTCTCCGGGGGGACCCCTGAGTCCCGGTTTTCCCGGTCTCCCCGGTTCCCCGCGGCTACCTTGCGCCATTGGTGGTAGCGGTGCGATGCCGTTGACGCTCTGGGTTTCCTCTACAACGGCGCCACCCCCGGGTTTGGCGCTGTAAGGGTCGCATACCATCCGACAGGTGCCCATCATCTCGTAGTAATGAGCGGAGGTCTCCGAGGGACGCAGGAGGAGAAGCGGCACGGCAATCGCCAGAGCCAGCAAAACCATCACGACAGCGGTGACCACAGCCAATAGTGACCACTTCCTCCGCGCAGTTCGGAGACCAAAGGACGACAGAAAATCCGCGGCGCCTCGGTGGGGGGTAATGATGAAAGATTGTAAAATACCTTTAGAAAGAAGGAAGAAAAGAGAGCGAGATCAAGGTAGTCGCACAAGCATCACTCGGCCTTTAAATGGGTAGCGGCGGAAGAGAGCGCCTTCGGACCAGTCTCAATAGGGGGTTGCGCGCGCGCTGAGAGATGCGCCCAGCCCAGCGGCGTCCAGCTGTCAGAGGTGCCAAAAAACAGACCGGAAAAAGATAAGAGTCCTTCAGATTAAAACCATAAAGAACCAGCTGTATTTGCAAACGAACGAGAAAGACAAATATATCCACTTAAACGAACCAAAATAGAAGAATATTGATCTTCTGGAGGTTAAAAAGGACAAACGGTAAGTAACTTGCTATATTTGACTGGCGTCGCTGTTTAGGGCCTGCAGCTCAAATTCGAATTGGCCCTGTAGATTAATTTTGTTTACACTCGTTGAGCCGTTGAAAATGTAATATCAGTGTTAACCACAGGATGGCAAACATTGCTCAGTACGGTAGCGCCTTCAACCGGACGGCTGGAATGAGCACCAGAGAGGAAGAGCGCGTCATGGCCACCACAGCATGGTCTCAAATGTACACTATAAAAGCATTTTTTCCCACGGTGGTGACAGTTCGTTTGAAGCCACGTGGGCCAGGACAGGGCAGGTGCTATGTGCTATGTGGCCAGAGTGACCAGGGGTGGACACGGCCACCCCTGGTCATTCTAGCCACCGTCCTGGCCAACCCACATTTAGGTATGTTTGATACCTGTGACTTTAATACCATTTTCATATGGATGCAGGATTCTCGGAGGGATTGACCGTTTGATTGTCCGTGACTCTGCAAAGTTATTTGAGTAACAGTATTATTTGATTTTTTTTGGTGACTGTAATTAATTTCTACTTGAAACATGAAGCATAAAGTTGACATTTGTGGTGTAATTCAGCCACACAGACAGATGGTTCATTTATTACGGGAGGTCATGACGTGCCGTAATCTTTAATGGCGTCTCCATGAAACGAGATCCCAAAGCCTTGCCTCATTTCCCCAAAATATTTATACCTCCTCTTGCATCGCTCCTCTGTAGATATGATATGATAAAAAGATGAGCCCCAACCATGTCCGTGGCCCGTACCTGATGGAGCACTTCCAAAAACACCATGTTATGAGTGACGTCGCCTCTTCTGCGCATGTAGGTCATTTCGGGGACGCTTACGTTCACACACACCAGGCATACTGATAAAAAAGATCCTTTGAATTTTCCTTATTTTGAACATGTACATTGGTTACACATGGTTTAAATGTGATGAACCTAAGTAAATTTACAGTGTTTTCCTCCAAAATAAACAAATGATATGCATTAGTTTAACCAAAGATCATGAACTTTTTTTTCACTGCAGACTGCAAACGCTTGCACAGATTAAAAAAAAAAAATCTTATTATACCACAAAATACGAATTAAGCATTCAGACCTGCACTGTGAACCTAGCCTCACAATTTAGATTGTTGGGGAGAAAGTTTTTGTGTTGTTTTTTTTTTTCTTTCTGCTTTGTAAAATCCATTTGGGTTTGGAAAATATCTTTAAATATGTATTTAAACCGTTTGATTGTCCGTGACTCTGCCAAGGGCAGACTGACGTTGGCGACATGAAGTGGCCAACTTTGGTCATCCATACACTCCGCCTGTTGCGCCCATTCATCAGAATGAGAATCAGAATAAGAATCATCTTTATTGGCCAAGTATGGAGAGCACATAAGGAATTTGTCTCTGGTTGTACAGGCTACACTAGTATAATCAATATCAAGCAACTACAATAAACAAGGGCATAGCAAATAAGTATCGAAAGACTTTTGTAATGTTATGGTGCTGTCGTGCAATAGTACCACCCATTGACAGCTGTGCGACAATGTGCAAAGTCATCGAACAGAGATAAAGTGATCAGTCGTGCAATACAATACGATGACAATTGTGCAGTTGGTGCAGATAATCGTTGCACCATTCTGATTCATAGGCACGGTAGTGAGCTGAAAGTGAATGCAATTAAGGAACGGTACAGGCATTTCACCACCTCCAGGTCCAAGCTCTCCAGGCTGCGGAAATAGTAGATAGAGTATTGGACATCTTTTTCTGTGAGGTCGAGGCTAACGGGCCCTGAATTTCGATTCTAGTTAGGTGGGGGGGTTTTACAATTATGTAGTTTTGCGCAGAACCTCATTAGCGCACAGGGTTTGATGCCCATTTTGGTACATACGAATTCTTCTGCCATCGAGGCACCTGTGCACTGAACGATGCACATCAGTTGCATTCATTCATGTGCTATATAGCGGAGGTTTTTCATGTTCATTAAAAATTCTGCTTATCCATGAAAGAACTAATTGCTTTTGTTACTATTTTTTTTCCAAGTAGAAAAACTCCTAAAAACACACGCTGGAAACTAAGCACCTGAGATTGGAGCATCGTCCTCACATCTACCAAGACTTTACAGCTCAAGGTGACCCAATCTGCTGAGGATGAACAAAAGGCTTTACTGAAGCCTGGTGGTCATACCAGCACAGCCCTACACCCCTGCCAAGCAATTTCAGATTGTGTTCAGCTCGAGCTTTTACTCGTGAAAACATGACTACTCCTGAGAAATGGAATAAATGCCATTAGAAGCCAGAAGGCTAATGCCAAATTGAGATTAATTCTGAGGAAGGTCCTGGCAAAACTGAAAATTACATGTACAGCACCATTATCGCACACTGTTTTGCTCACTCACTGAAAGTGATGTTTTTTGTTTTATTTTACTTTACAAAACAAAACCTAGAAAAATTGAGATCGAGGCAAACTGTCGGCTTTTTCTTCCCGACTATGTAAAAAGACAGCACAAACGACCTTTGTTCAGGATTAGTACAGTGAACTGTATCTTCCGGCTGTGATGAGCCATGCACGACACACTATTCACATTATGCACTGCTGCTGCCTTGTGGCACTGCCGTGCTTTTTTTGTCACATGGCATTTGAGTGCACCGCGGAGTAATGCACACAAACCATGCAGTAAGACAATTACATCAATCTGTATCTATGTTCCTACTTGCATTAGTGGTAGCCCAGATTATCATAAAGACGGCAAACACAATGTTAGTTAACTGCCTGCCATTGCAAATAAACCTCAAAATTTACTATAGTGACTCTCAGGAATATTATGTAAGATGAGAAAATGATGTAAGTAATGTGGAGTGTCACAGAGTATGTGTGAAACTGTTGCTGAGCCACAGCAGAACAAATATGAGAACTTGCAGCATCAGCTCCTGTCCCAACATGTGACCCTAATCCCTGATGAAGATGCTGAGAAATACAGTATGTTGCCCTGGAAAGCACATAAAGGAATGTCTTTCTTCGTGATACCTTGTGACACTGACGCCCTGTCCCATGTCATGGGAACATAGATGTTTTCCGACCACTTGCTTTCACTTCTGTACACCTTAAATGTTGATCCGATAATCACGCTTGTGTCATCCAACATCTGTTTGAAACTAACTTATCAGGGTCTCACCATCAACCTTTGTTAATTAGCACTCCAATCAGAATCTCCAGGCTTTTGTGGAGAATATTAAACAGAGTTTGCTTCTTATACAAAACAATACAATACCATACAATACATCTTTCACAATAGCTGCAGCTGTAACAAAGCACTTTACAGAACAGTTAACATAAAATAACAAAATATGGTAATAGAACAAATCACATAAGACATGGACAGTCATGCAATCGTAACAATATTCCAGCATACATCGTGTTGTTTGAAGCAGTAAGAGATGAATGAGGAGAGAATCAAAGTGTCCTTTCACCAGTGGATCGGAGACGTCATGCTCAAAATGTGCACAAGTTTGAAAGTAAACAAGAAGCTGGAGCGTCCATTGACCAAAAAAGATTGGTTCGCTTCTCCTGTCCCATATAAATTCACATCAATTCCAATTCTTGATTGATTTGATCTATTCAAGCCTGGTCGAATTCAGAGTGAGCGCACAGTCCTCACAATTCTGAGGCTGGGGTTTTGAATCTGGGTTCTGGCCTTTCTTTCCAGTTGTTGGCCCAATATTTTTTCCTGGTGCACGTGTGGACTTTTTTCAGGAATGGCTTCCTGCCACATACAAAAGCATGTTTCTTAGATTCATTATCATCCATCCGTCCATTATTGATCACTCATCCGGGATCGGGTCGCGGAAGCAACAGCTTCCTGTAGGGAAGCCCAGACTTCCCACTTCATTTCTTCCAACTCAGGCTGGTCTCTCCAGCACGTCCTGGGCCATTACCAGAGAGGTGTCCAAGAGGCATCCTAACCAGATGCCAGAGCCACCTCATCTGGCTCCACTCAATGTTGAGGAGGAGCAGCTCAACTCAGTCCCTCCCGGATGACCAAGCTTCTCACCCTGAGCTTGGACACCCTGCGGAGGAAACTCATTTTGGCCGCTTGTATCCAAGACAGCCAGAATCGAACCCTGCACCTCTGCACTGTGAGGCAGACATGATAACCAGTCGTTCACCATGCCGCCACTAAGTCTTATACTAACACTTAAATATATCCGATTTATGTCAGTTCACGGTGTATCCAAAGTCGGCTGGGATAGGTGTCAGCTCATTTGCAACCCAGGTGCGGATAAGTGGTACAGTAACGAAATGGATGGAGTTCATTCATTTTGTGTGGTTTCTTCAAAGACAGAGTAGCGATAGGTGCCTGAGGAAATTGCAAATGTATTTCAAAGAACTCAAGCTTGTGAGACAAAGTGGCCAAGCCAGATCGGGAGTGACAAGAGGGCAAAACAGCAGGCATGCACAGTTTTATGTGTTTGTGTGCATGTATATGTGTGTGCGTGCGTGCGTGCGTAACGAAATGGATGGAGTTCATTCATTTTGTGTGGTTTCTTCAAAGACAGAGTAG